TAAATGCGAGGGCATATCTCCATGAATTCCATCCCTTATCTGCGAATGTTTCTAAAAATCTCTTTCCATTCTAACCAGTTATCTATCTCCAGTTGTGAAAGTGTTGCCTGATACCAGTCCATACAAGATTTATCTAAGAACAACCTCAGTGTCTCAATCTTTGTATTATTTTCTTCTATTTTGAATCTTCCACATTCTTTTTCAAACATTCTCATCCATTGCTGGGTATTTGTTGTCTTATGTGCATATTTCTCCAGTACAAATTTTTCTGTGATCTTTTCCAGATTTATTTTGTTATCTGGTTTTGTGTTGGATATAACCAGCTGTTCTAACAGCTTATTTAAAGTGCTATCTTGATTTTTGTTAGGCAATTTGCTAAACATTGCCTTTTTAGAGGCAATGTTTAGCAATTGACCTTTGAATTGTATATTTCCCATTTCATCTGAGTATACAGATTTTAGTTCTTCTGTTAGTTGCACCCATCCTATTCTTCTATCATGTCTCTTGATATTAGCCTTTACTTTATTATATAAATCTGTCTTCTTCAATTCACTGTGGTGGATTATGTTTCTGTACTCTTCGGATAGTTCATACTTCTCCCCTTCTTCTGTCGTAATCGAGGTTATGTACAATATATTCGATTTTGGGTCTTTATCTGACGCTGCTACAACGAATTCAAATCGCAATCTCTGCATTGTGTATTCGTAGACGAATTGTCGTTTTATAAGACGCCTTTATCTCAGATAGAGAGAGGTAATAAATGATTGCTTGAATTTGTTTCACTGAAAAACAGAGTGGATTTTATTCGCGACACCCATTGCGATTTACAATTATTTACAATTATTTACAGTAAGCTTACCTGAAAAACAGAGAAACGACAATTACAAGCCAACTCACTAAAATTAGTTATCAAATTAATTCTTGAAAATCAAATTAATCTTTCCCCCCAATGTTTATATTGCACGTGTGCTTCTTCTCAATATTGTGTTGCTATGACTTCTGGCCGGTCATGATAGAGTGGCGCGTGGAGCATGCATAGCGCGCCAGATTTAAATTAAAGAAAGCAAAGGTTAAGAGAGCGTTTCTTTACATATATATATATTACATATATATATATATATATATATATATATTACATATACAGGGTGGGGAAAAAGTATGGAAGCAAACAATTATTTCCGAAACTATTCATTTTTCGACAAAATGTCTTAGACATAATTTTTATGGTATGAAAAGATGTATTATGTGGCATAGACGGCATGACCTTGAAATGACCCTTACGAGCTGCATACAAATAACGTAAAAAGTTTCAAATGGAACTCGTCAGTTTTTGTTACAGATTCTTGTAGCTGATATCGAAACGTTTACAAAACACTGCATATGAGCCCCATTCCCTTAAAAACACTCCCAGTTACGAAACAATTGTGATACAAACAATTTGTATGCACATTGACATTGCTTACTGATTTCGCATTTATCTTGCCTTAACTGGTTGGATGAATCGCACTTATCTTGCCTTAACTGGTTGGATGAATCGCACTTATCTTGTCTTAACTGGTTGGATGAATCGCACTTATCTTGCCTTAACTGGTTGGATGAATCGCACTTATCTTGCCTTAACTGGTTGGATGAATCGCACTTATCTTGTCTTAACTGGTTGGATGAATCGCACTTATCTTACCTTAACTGGTTGGATGAATCGCACTTATCTTACCTTAACTGGTTGGATGAATCGCACTTATCTTATCTTAACTGGTTGGATGAATCACGCAATCTCTTTCCTTGAGTACGGTTCGATGTACGCCTTAACTGATTCTACGAACTTCGCGTGTCTTTCCTATCGGCAGAAATGATCGAAGCGGGTTATTCTCCATTTGTTGCAGTAATCGCTACTGTTGTACTGATCTCTCATAATGACGTTCAGTCGCGTTACACACATTCATGTAATCACACGTACGCTATTTTCAATTTCGTCGATACGAATTATCACAATTGTTTCGTAACTGGGAGTGTTTTTAAGGGAATGGGGCTCATATGCAGTGTTTTGTAAACGTTTCGACATCAGCTACATGAATCTGTAACAAAAACTGACGAGTTCCATTTGAAATTTTTTACGTTATTTGTATGCAGCTCGTAAGGGTCATTTCAAGGTCATGCCGTCTATGCCACATAATACATCTTTTCATACCATAAAAATTATGTCTAAGACATTTTGTCGAAAAATGAATAGTTTCGGAAATAATTGTTTGCTTCCATACTTTTTCCCCACCCTGTATATATACACACACGTTTTGTAATAAATTAAATATAATTAATTTTTTTATATATTTATAATATGAAATTAAAAAAATAGTGCGATTTTTCACATGAGGTATCATCAATAGCGCGTTAGATTTTTTATGTGGACCTTCGCCTGGAGCCCTATTATATTACATTCCATTATTTCATTATATTTTACAAGTATCGTGTCTATTATACAGACAGACAGACAGACACACACACACACACACACACACACACACACACACACACACACACACACAAGATGTTTTTCATATTCTTGCTTTCTGCAAATATGGTGTCTGTTAGATAGACAAGATGTTTTGTACAAGCGTAATGTTTGTAATAAATTTATTATTAATTAGAGGAGGGGCCAGCTATGTCAGTGTCTGCAGCGTAATATTAAACTATTTTTATTTTTCTTAGTAGCGGTAGCATATAATTTATCCGCTGACATAAGAGATAAATGCTTTTTGTCAATTTTCATTTTTATAGCTGTTTCGTCCCTCATTTTTAATGCCGATTTAAATACACAAATAGCATTAATAGTAATTGACGAAAACTTGTTACGGTTTTTCGTTTTTAAATTATTTAAAAAAGAAAACATTCTTTCCGGATCAGCATTTGAATTTGGAAGAGATCTTATAGTACTTATAACATTTGTTAAATTAGGATATTTAATAGGGTGATCGGAGCAAGACCAATCACTTTTGCGCCGACGTGGTCTCTCTGTATGAATAGACCACAAAGAAATCTTGGCGCGCTTTTCAGAAGCACACTCTACAGTTTCTTTCTCGCTAGTTTATGTTTGTTATATCACAATGGATTTCAAACAAAAAATAATTGATTCTTTCGATAACGAAAAACAACGAGTTCACACTGCAAAGGTTGAGGTGAAAGAGTTTTTGGCTGAGAAGAAGATCATGCTCTGGAAATAGCCTCCATACTCGCCAGATATCAGTTCGCTCGATTATGGATGCTTTGCAGAGCTGAAGCGCGAGTTGAGAGGAAGACAGTTCAGTGAGATGAGTTCAAGACGCATCTGGACGCAACTGTGCAGTTACTCAACTCAACTGGCCGTATAACTGCTATACCTCGTCTGGCAGAGAGGTGGCAGCGGGTAGTTGAGCTTGAAGGTGCATACTTCTGATGTGCCAATTTTCATCTCAATCGGTTGAATTTTCATAATAAAAATCTTAATTCAAAAGTGATTGGTCTTGCTCCGATCAACCTAATAGTAAAATTATTGTCGATTTTGTAAAATTTTTTTCCACATGCTGTCGAAATTTAATTTAGAAAAGTTTTGTTTTTCTTCTATTGTAAAATCGAATGGTAAAGCAATCTATTCTTCTTTTAAACCATTTTCATCAAAACCGCCAATAGTTTTAGCTATAAAAGAAACATCATTGAATGATGTTTCTCTATTATTATCAAATAAAGTTATGTATGGTCGAAAAACTTGTAACTTTGGTAAAAACATGTTGTTTATGAATAATCTTTTACGAATTTCTTCCGCAGCAGTCACATAAAATAGTCATTAAACAGTTCTCTCGAACAATTTTAACTATGTTTATGTGATCTTTAAGTGTTAATTCGTTTAGATCAGACCTTGGCAAGAACTGCACATTTCCGCCAATTTTCAGCTGGCTCCGCCTAGCGCATCCCTACCTCGCCGTTCTGCGCAAAGGCTACGAGCCGTTCGGCGCTCAGGAACGGGCGTATGGCAATAGCTTTCCACGTCACCCATGAGGTACTATTATTGACGCGTTTTTTTAAAGTGATATCCAGTAGATCTAATCCACTGATGACTAAAATGACCCTTTAATTAATTGCATAAGACGATAAAGTTTATCACGTCTTATGCCACTTGCTACATGCCATATGCAAATAGATGTTCCTGATCTTGCTTGTAAAAAATCCCGAAAGTCATAAATATTCATCATATCAATTATTATTTATAATTCCGTGCAATTAGTTAAAGAGTCGTTTTAGTCATCAGTGGATTGGGCCTACTGAGGATACCACTTAAAATCGATGGTAAGACTCCCTACGATATATATACCATATATATATATCGTAGGGAGTCTTATCATCAAGTGACTTGGAGGGCCTGTTTCTAATGAAGTTTGCAGTCATAATCGCCTCAGCTCAAAAAGAATTCGGCAGCCCGGACTGAATGAGTAGACACATTGCCATTTCTAACAGAGTTCTATTGCGACGTTCTGCCTTCCCATTTTACTCAGGAGTGTTGGCTACGGTTAATCATCGTCGAATGCCGTTAGCGTTCAAGAAATCATTAAATGCGTCTTTTTAGATACTCGGTTCCATTGTCGCTTTGTAGACATTTTAAAGACTCATCTGTCTGTTTTTCGAACAATGCTCTTACCTTTTGAACTCGGCAAATACCTCATTTTTTTTATTCAAGAATTGCACCAGCCGGAATGGTCCTCAATGAATGTGACAAAATACTTAGCTCTCCCGTGGGATTCGCTGCGCATCAGGCCGCATATATCAGAGTAAACCAGGTCCAATATTTTGGTACTTCGCTCGGAATGCTTAGGAAACGCGGCGCGCGACATTTTACCTTGAATGCATACTTCGCAAGTGATATCCCCTTTCGATTCGATGACGCCAATGCCTTCTATCGTTTTCCTTTGTGAAGCTAAGACTAAATCCTTCATGTTTAAATGCCCCATTCTACGATGCCATAAGCTCGACGACTATAAATTTGAAGATTCCTGCTTCTTTGTGTATAAGCTCGCGATACGTGCGTTCGTTCTTTCCGCCTTAATGTAGTACAATCCGTCAACCCGATTCGCGATTAGTATAGTCTCACCGTAATCATCAATAATTTCCGCCGAGTCTTTCTTGAAAATCACGTGATAACCTTTGTCGGTAATCTTACCGACCGACATGAGATTGGTACGTAAATCGGGAACGTGTAACGCGTCGGTTAATTCGACTCTTTCAGTCTTTAGTCCGAGACTTACTTGAATATGCACATTTCCGCGAGTCTTTATATCCGTCGATGCGTTATTCGCTAAATGTAATTTTCCCGATTTGACGCTACAAGTATCATTGAAGTCGTCTATATTTTTACTTAAATGGGACGAACAACCACTATCTAAACACCAAACGGTATCTTGATTCGCGTATGCGGCTTGTGTCAGTTTAAGCGAGTATTTATTGTTTTTATATGCCTGCGTTTCGGATACGTCGTAAAATAAATGATGCTCCGCGCTTTGTGCACTCTGTTCGGGATCGCACCTTTTAATTGCGAGCGTAATGCCAGTACACACAAGAATGGATATCGCGAGCTGGAAAAACAAGTGATTTTGTGCAGGATGAGTGATAGGATTGAATGATATGCACTTGCTTCTTTAATTTGTCACAGTAATGTCCACGAGAGAATTACTATCTGTTTATTGCAATATAACACACGCTATTTATAATGTTTAAGAGCGTTCGCGGCGTGCAAGACGCTAATTCGAATGGTTTGAGCATGTCGAGAGTCGCACAAGTAAGAGTGAGCCCGCACTATTCGACGGTTCGCGAGAGCGAGTGGGACAGCGCTTTATCAGCTGTCCGCGACATTGAACGAAACCGCACTATTCTACGGTTCGCGAGAGCGAGCGAGACCGCACTATTCGATGGTTCGCGAGAGCGAGCGAGACAGCTCTTTATCAGCTGTCCGCGAGATTGAGCGAGACCGCATTATTCCACACGAGATTGAGCGAAACAACGTTTTACAACTTTCCGCGAGAGCGAGCGAGACCGCACTATTCCACGGTTGCACACGAGATTGAGCGAGACAGCGCTTTACAGCTGTCCGCGAGATTGAGTGAGACAGCGCTTTCCAGCTGTCCGCGGGAGCGAGCGAGACCGCACTATTCCACGGTTGCACGCGAGATTGAGTGAGACCGCACTATCCAACGGTTCGCGATTGAGCGAGACAGCGCTTTGTCGGCTGTACGCGAGATTGAGTGAGACCGCACTAGTCTACGGTTGCACGCGAGAGCGAGCGAGACCGCATTATACGAACACGCGTACAAGCGGAGGCTTAAAGAAGAAGGAGGCTCCACCTCTTAACTAGTGTGGAGGCGCTCGTCTGAGTCCCGGCACTCGTGCTCAAAATGTTTACGTGTTGGACGGAGCCGATTAGTTAAACGTAATTCTGAACCGATCTTTCGCGATATTCGATACAACGATTCGATTTTATGTACTCGCGATTTTAACGTTTCACTGATTCCAAGCACTTAAAAAATTCTCGATTTCGGATCAATTACGATTCTCTCTTGATGTTATCAGAATGACTCAGACAAGAACTCAGAGAGCTTTCTCCCGCTGATACAAGTTCGATCGCGAGTCGGGTGATCAGATTTAAACCTATCACGTTTTGTCATGTCAAATCGCGTGATGTTTCTAGTTTCTGATTGGTCAGGACCATGTAATCTTACGCGATCACGCGGATCCTGGCTGATTTCGAAAAAACAGGACGGCATTACATATTCGCGAGTTCGATCGAGCGCGAACGAATGGCGCCAGTATGATGTGGGGTGATATTTTAATCTAAATCGCAAGACGAATCCTGAACACACTCTGTTCATTTTTTTCGCGAGATTTCCGACACTTAGATCCTTTGTGTCTGATTTTCTTGCATCGGTAACACTTTATTTTCGTTGTATTTGTGTTGTCTTTAACCGGCAATTTTTCTTCCTTTGTGTTCTGTTCTGTCGAAGCGTTTATTTGCGACCATCGCGATTTCGAGATGTCTCCTTGCGTATCATGTTTCCGTGTGTCGTTCTCTTCAATAATTTTTATTCGTAGAGTCTCCGGGTTGGATAATTCGTCTCTGGATTCTATCGCACAGCGAAAGTAGTCAAACGTCGACGAAAGACTGTATAACAATAAGATCGCGAGAAGGTCCGTGTTTATTTCCACTTTCATTTCAGCGAGTTTGTCGACCGCGTCAAAGAATTTTCGTAAATGTTCGCGCACATCGTCGTCCTTCTGCATCCGTGTAAGAATTAGCTGTTTCAGTAGCGCGGTCTTTCGTGCGGGTATTTTGGATTGGTAGATCTCTTCAAGACGTTGCCATACATCCCGGGAAGTTTCGCATCTCTTGATTTATTTAAACTCAGTGGAGCTTATCAATAAAATAGTGTCGGATCTCGCTTTCCGGTCATTGATCATCCAGACGTCATATGCTACTCTACTCGCATTGTCATTTGGTATAACCTCCGGTTTGATCTTTGTACCAGAGACGTATCCCCAGGCGTCAGTTTTAATTAGAAGCGCCTCCATGTGCATTTTCCAGGTGTAATTTTCTCGATTTAGAGCGTCAATTTTTGTGACACCGGATATGGCCATTTTTTGTTTTCTTTAATTCAATGAAAAAAGATGGCTGCACTCGATGATTTCGCGGCGCACTAAGTGTTTTACTTCACTTCGACTTTTAATTACTCGATTTATTTCCTGGGCTCATAACCTGTTGAGGGTGAGTGAAAATAACGATGGCCGATAATATTCGTTTATACAGAAAGTATATTCTTAATCAAACACTCAAAGAAAAATAATACAGTAAAGAAACGTGCTACCGCGACCAAGTAAAGGCGTCGAGAGAGAGATAGAACGAGACCACTGACGAGACAGTGTCTCCACACGTAGAAAATACACACGTTAAAAATACTTTACACCATGTATGCGACTCCAGGAGCAACGTCGACCGCGAGATTCAAATCTCCAACAATAATTGTTTAATGAATTTTATTATAAACATTTTATATTAATTTATTTCTAAGTATTTTTTCTTTGGCATAAGAGGCACGTTTAACATAAAAAGATATTCTGATTATAAGAAAAGTAATAAGAGATTTAAAAAGAAATGATTTATAGGTGTTCTGTATATTCACATAATGCAGTTTGAATCAAGCAATACGTAACGCCATTTTTGTATTAGTACAAATAAGTAAACCATTTTTGTATTAGTACAAATAAGTAAAAATTTAAAGTATGTAACGGTACGGCCTATCCCGTTCGCCACGGACTGGCTCGCCGGTGCCAAGGTTCGGGAGTAGGTAGGAGAGTCAAGCTTACGAGTCCTCTTTCAATAATCAATTTATTCGTAAATATCTTATGCTAGGCCTTATCCTACGCGGTGATTATAACTACCTTATTTTACGCGAGCTTAGCCTACGACGGTGCGCTAGTACTTATCCTTCTAACTTAACCTACGGACGCTTACGGTAAACTTAGCCTAGACGGTCGGTCGCGGTTTCGTTCGGCGAGCGTGTCGCGATTGCGGAGTGCGGCGGTGCGCGGAGGCCGAGTGCCGGGCAAACCCAGGCTGCGGAGAGGTCAGACCCGTCTCCGTCGGCGTGCACGGTCAGGAAGCCGAGTGCCGGGCAGACCCAGGCTGCGGAGAGGTCAAACCCGTCTCCGTCGGCGTGCACGGTCAGGAAGCCGAATGCCGGGCAAACCCAGGCGGCGGAGAGGTCACACCCGTCTCCGTCGGCAGGAACGGTCAGGAAGTCGTATGCCGGGCAAACCCAGGCGGCGGAGAGGTCACACCCGTCTCCGTCGGCAGGAACGGTCAGGAAGCCGAATGCCGGGCAAACCCAGGCGGCGGAGAGGTCACACCCGTCTCCGTCGGCAGGAACGGTCAGGAAGCCAAATGCCGGGCAAACCTAGGCGGCGGAGAGGTCACACCCGTCTCCGTCGGCAGGAACGGTCAGGAAGCCGAATGCCGGGCAAACCCAGGCGGCGGAGAGGTCACACCCGTCTCCGTCGGCAGGAACGGTCAGGAAGCCGAATGCCGGGCAAACCCAGGCGGCGGAGAGGTCACACCCGTCTCCGTCGGCAGGAACGGTCAGGATTCAAGATGTCTCGGTTATTCCCTGAGATTCAGAGCTGGTCGGAAGCTGGAAAGGAATAAGGTGTCGCTCCGTTGCGCGAGCCGGCTTTTATACGGCTCGAGGGTTCCCCACACTCGCGTGCGTCGAGGAGGGAGCGAGACTAGGTGGGGGAGCCCATAGGCGGAATTGCAAGTGGGTGCCAGAGGCGTCGAGTAAGAAATATACTCGCGGGAAACTGTTACAGTTAAAGCCTTTTATTGTAGGAACACAGGAATAATATAGACCGTATAAACAAGAAACGAAACGAATGAACAAAAAATATATACATATATACAGTGACGACGACGGTGTCGTCACATCACCCCGCGCTTAGGGGGGCCCATCTAGGCGCCGAACTGCTCGGGGGCGGCCATCCGGGTGGAAACGGATTACCCATCGGCCTGACGCGGTACGGACTTTATATCTTCGCCCGATGATGGCTGATCCGGCGGGGACCTTGACGACAGTGCCGTCGTCCAGACGTACTGGGATGGACCCAGCGATTGGTGGCCTGGCGGTCGGAGGTCGGGTTGTTGCCGGTCGGGTGGCAGGTGATCCGGCGGCCGTGGGTGGTCCGACGGTCGCAGGCCGGGCGGTATGCGATCCGACGGTCGCAGGTCGGATAATCACTGGGCCGGCGGTCGTGGGCCGGGTAGTTGGCGAGCCAATGTTCGCAGGCCGGGTGATAGTTGGTCTGACGGTCGTAGGTCGGGCCGTCGCTGGGCCGGCGGTCGTGGGCCGGGTAGTCGGCGGACCGATGTTCGCAGGCTGGGTATATAGTCCGGTGTTCATCGGCCGGGTCATCGGGGCTCCGGTGGAGGAGGGCGGTCCGGCGGTCGATGGCCTGGATGTCGAGGCCTTGGGCTTGGCGGCCGGTGGACGGCTGTCGGCAGGTCGAGGTCTGGCCAGGGCGGCGATCCTTCCGCGGCGGCGCGGCTTAATCTCCGGCGGCGTCGCCAGGATGATCGCCTTCCGACGGTTCGGCTGGTCGGAGCGCTGGATGGACGTCCCGGGCCGCGGCGGTCGTCGGGATCGTCCCGGGCTCGGGGTCGCTGGAGGCGGCTTGGCAGGCGTTGGCGGCGTCGTGGTGGGCCCGTTGGTGTCGGATTCGGAGCTGGAGCTGATTTCTCCAAAGAGATCGAATGCCTCGCGTCGGTCCATCGTGACTGTTGCTCCGTGCGGGGTTGCACGGTCTTATATACCCGCTGCGCTGCTCCTGGAGGGAATTTGTTCGCGGAATTTCCGATGGCTCGGGGTGTTTCGTGGTTCCAGGGGAAGTAGCGGAGTCCGGTCGCAGGTTGGGTAGTCGCTGCGCCGGCGGTCGTAGGCCGGGCAGTATGTGATCCGGTGTTCGTAGGCCGGGCAGTAGCTGGACCGGCGGTCGTAGGTCGGGCAGTAGCTGGACCGGCGGTCATAGGTCGGGCAGTAGCTGGACCGGCGGTCGTAGGTCGGGCAGTAGCTGGACTGGCGGTCGTAGGTCGGGCAGTAACTGGACCGGCGGTCGTAGGTCGGGCAATATGCGGTCCGCCATCCGCAGGTCGGGTAGTAGATGGTCCGGCGACCGCAGGTCGGGCAGTAGGTAGTCCGTGGCTCTAAGGGAAATTTCCTAGCAACGGAGTTCGTCCGAATGCTCCAAGGTGGCGGTACTTCGGCGTGGTCGATAACTTTTTGCCGAATTATGCGTCATCCTCGTCCACCCGAGGGCTTTCTGGTATGTTCGGTTGCGGTTTCAGATCCTGCACGTGGATATGCCGATGCCATTTCCCGTGTTCGTCGCGTAGATCCACGATGACTGGGGATATTACCCTGCGTATTTCCATGGGCCCTGAAAATCGAGGGGCCAGTTTGGCGTTGAACGCGTCGTCGCGGCTGGACAGGGGGCGTTCTCGCTTCCAGACTTTGTCGCCCACCCCGGGGCGCCAGTCGCGTCGCCTCATGTTATAATGGCGCTCCTGTTTTTGAAAGGCTCGGGCTAGGTGCACCCTGGCAACCTCATAGGCCTCTTCCAGGCGTTGTCGATGCGACTCCGGGGAAGTCGAGTTCGGCGTTGGTTGTCGCTCGGCAGGATGGGGAGGTGCCAGTTCGCGGCCGTGGAGCAGAAAGGCTGGGGTGTATCCGGTGGCCTCGTGTCGAGCGGTGTTCACTGCGAACTGCAACGCGTCAATGTGCTCGTCCCAATCCCGGTGCCGGTCGCCCACGTATTGACTAATCATGGTCTTGATGGTCCGATTCGCCCTCTCCACCGGGTTGCAATGCGGCGCGTAGACAGGTGACGTGCGGTGCTGGATCCCGAACGATGCCAGCAAGGTACGGAACTGGCGGGAGGTGAACTGAGTCCCGTTGTCCGAGATGAGTTGGCCCGGGCATTCACGCCGGTAGATGATGCGGCGGGTCACTTCTTTCGCCAGTGCCGTGGCGGTGGCGCGTCGCAGGGGAACCATCTCGACCCATTTGCTGAACCGGTCCTGGGCGGTCAGGAGCCAGACATGTCCACGGACCGAGCGTGGCAGAGGACCGACTAGGTCCACTGAGACTTGCTGCCACGGGGCGGTTACTGGCGTAGCGTGTAGATTCCCGGCTGGTCGTTGTTGCGGCACTTTGTGGGCTAAGCAGTTCGGACAGCTCCGAACGTACCGGGCTGTCTCCCGGAACATCCCCGGCCAGTGGTACAACCGGGCGAGTCGGGCGATGGTCTTAGCCACTCCTAGATGCCCTGCGGTTGGGTCGTCGTGTAGCCGGCGCAGGATGTCGAGCCGCTGCTCCCGAGGGACGCATTGTTTCCATTGCTCGGTGGAGGGTACCTCGCTAAAATCCAGGTCGTGTAGCACATGTCGAAACAGTTGGCCGTCACGTATCTCGTAATCGGGGTACTCGTCTGGTCGACTCTTTACTTCTCTGAGGAGGCGTTGGTACCATGGACATGCTATCCGGTGTTGCATTGCGTTGAGCTGCGGCTCCCGGGAGAGGGCATCGGCTACTTGATTTTGTCCTCCTCTTCTATAGTGTATGGTGAAGTCGAACTGTTGCAGTTCGAAGAGCCACCGCCCCAGGCGTCCGGATGGGTTTTCCAGACGTTGCAGCCACTTGAGGGACTGGTGGTCTGTTACGACGGTGAATCGATACCCCTCCAAGTAGTCTCGCATTCGCCGGATTCCCCATACCACGGCGAGACATTCCAACTCGGTCGCACTGTAGTTCCGTTCGGCACCGTTGAGCGTTCGGCTGGCGTATGCGATTACTCGCTCTCCCTCCGCCTGGTGCTGCGTTAGCACGGCTCCTAGCCCATGTGAACTGGCATCGGTTTGTAGCAGGAACGGTTTCTGGAAGTCCGGGCAGGCCAGAACCGGTGTGGAGGTTAATGCGTCCTTTAGTTGTTGGAAGGCTGCGTCTTCGGGGGTCCCCCATGTCCAGCCAGCTCGTTTTTTGGTCAACGCTGTAAGCGGCGCCGCTAGTGTCGAAAAATTCGGGATGAACCTCCGATACCACGAGGCCATTCCTAAAAATTGCCGGACCTTGCGCACGGTGGTGGGAGCGGGCCAACTGGTGATGGCGCTGACTTTATCTGGGTCCGTGTGTATTCCTTGTCGATCAATTACATGTCCTAGGTAGCGGAGGCTCGGACGGCAGAAGTGGCATTTATCCGGGTTTAAGCGTAGCTCTGCTTTACGTAGTCGCCGGAATACCTCTCTCAAGTGCTGCAGGTGTTCGCTGAACGTCTTGCTGGCGATTATTATATCGTCCAAGTAGACGAGGACGTTAGGTTCGAGGTCGGGGCCGATCACTGCGTCCAGCAACCGCTGGAAGGTCGCTGGGGCTGAGTGCAACCCGAAAGGCATGACCGTGAATTGGTATAAACCCTTCCCTGGTACGGTGAAGGCGGTTGCAGGTCGACTCCCTTGGTTCAGTGGTATCTGCCAGTAACCACTCTTTAGGTCTAACGTCGTCAGGTATTTCGCCCCGCGTAACTTGTCGAGCGTAGCCGTGATGTGCGGCAAGGGATAGGCGTCTTTATCTGACATTGCATTCAGTCTGCGGAAATCGATGCAGAATCTATACTGCCCATCTTTCTTTCGAACTATGACGACCGGTGAGCTCCAAGCGCTATTCGAGGGCTCGATGACGCCTTCGGCGAGCATTCGGTCGACCTCCTCATTGATGACGGCCTGCATGGCCGGGTTTCGAGGTCGGTACCGCTGTTTGATGGGCGGCCCAGGCTTTAGCCGGATGCGATGTTCGGCTCGGTCGGTTCGTCCCGTGATTACTTCAAACAATGGTAACTCAGCGGCTAGAAAGTCCTGGAGTTGCGCTTCTTCGTTTGCTTCGTTATTTGGTCCGACGGTGATCGTGTTGGTCCGGGAAACCGTCCCGGTCTGGTTCAACGGAGGTGGCGGCAAAGTGAATCCCATCTTAGCCCATAGGTCGGTACCAATCAGCACAGCGCTAGCTAGCCCAGGGAGTATGCAGAAGTCGTGCCAATAGGTTCTCCCATGCCATCGGAGGGGCAGGCGCAATACCCCAGTGACCCCTACCCGTGTGTTATCGGCCAGGAGGACGTAGTCTCCTCGGTTCTGGGCTAGTCGGGGTATTCCGGGGAACAGTCGTGCAGTTTCTTCCTGTATGCACGAGACTTCAGATCCGGGGTCTATGAGAGCCGCGAACGGTTGTCGCCGGATGTGCACTTGGAGGTGCGGGCGCGGACGGTATTCTATTCGAGGCTGGGCTGGGAGACGGCCGCTACGTCCCCGGCCCGTTGGGCGTTTCCCGTCGGCGGGTGACAGTCGCGAGTCAGGACACCATCCTTGCCGCATCGCGAGCAGAATTTTCTCGGTGGCCGCTTACAATCCACTCGAGTGTGGCCTTGCTGCTTACATCTCCAGCAGCATTCCTCCCGGTTGTAGGTGACGGCGGCTACTGATAGTTTGACGGTCGCTGGAGTTCGATCCTGTCGACGGTGGTTGATTTCCTCAATCTTAGATATCCGGGTCCGGAGTTCGCTCATGGTGAGCTGATCAGTGAGCGGAACATAGAGTTGGTGCTCGGGATTCATGTTCTCGTAGATTTGTTCCAGCTGTTCTCGCTCGGAGTATCCCCCAGCTCGGCGCATCATGGTGAGAAGTGTATTGGAGTATTCGCGAAACGACTCCCCTGGCTTTTGGGAGCGTCCGTTGACGTCTCGTTTTAGTCGCCTCAGGTATCCCGGCGGTAGGTAATAATCCCGGAACTGTTCGCAGAAACTGGCCCAAGTTCCCCAGGTATCGTGGTGATTTCGATACCACAAGAGGGCGTCCCCTTTTAGTAATTCCGGTAGGCCCAAGAGTAAGTGGTCTTCTTCGAGGCCATAACTGATTCTTAGCTCTTCAACTCTCTCTAGGAATGAGAGCGGGTCCACTCCTTCGAAACGGTGGCCCCATTTCCGGATCTGGTTGATGATCTCGATGCGTTCCGTTGGACTCAAGGTGGGCATGGTTGCGGTTTCTCCTGGTACGTCACCGCTATTGTTCCTCGGGTTGTCGGACGGGTGGGCAGCGAAGTACAGGCGTAATCAGCGTCTTAGCAGGTCCACCTGGCCTGTGGTATCCACTTCGAACCGGTGGAGATATTCTACAAGCTGTTCTTTGGAAAGGTTATTAATCCACGCAGTCATGAGGCTTTTCGCTAGCTGGACTCTCCTTAAACGGTCCCTGTTCGGGCGCCATGTAACGGTACGGCCTATCCCGTTCGCCACGGACTGGCTCGCCGGTGCCAAGGTTCGGGAGTAGGTAGGAGAGTCAAGCTTACGAGTCCTCTTTCAATAATCAATTTATTCGTAAATATCTTATGCTAGGCCTTATCCTACGCGGTGATTATAACTACCTTATTTTACGCGAGCTTAGCCTACGACGGTGCGCTAGTACTTATCCTTCTAACTTAACCTACGGACGCTTACGGTAAACTTAGCCTAGACGGTCGGTCGCGGTTTCGTTCGGCGAGCGTGTCGCAATTGCGGAGTGCGGCGGTGCGCGGAGGCCGAGTGCCGGGCAAACCCAGGCTGCGGAGAGGTCAGACCCGTCTCCGTCGGCGTGCACGGTCAGGAAGCCGAATGCCGGGCAAACCCAGGCGGCGGAGAGGTCACACCCGTCTCCATCGGCAGGAACGGTCAGGATTCAAGATGTCTCGGTTATTCCCTGAGATTCAGAGCTGGTCGGAAGCTGGAAAGGAATAAGGTGTCGCTCCGTTGCGCGAGCCGGCTTTTATACGGCTCGAGGGTCCCCCACACTCGCGTGCGTCGAGGAGGGAGCGAGACTAGGTGGGGGAGCCCATAGGCGGAATCGCAAGTGGGTGCCAGAGGCGTCGAGTAAGAAATATACTCGCGGGAAACTGTTACAGTTAAAGCCTTTTATTGTAGGAACACAGGAACAATATAAACCGTATAAACAAGAAACGAAACGAATGAACAAAAAATATATACATATATACAGTGACGACGACGGTGTCGTCACAAGTAGAACAAATATAACTGAAATAAATAATATAATTAATTGTACGAGCTATTATTATCATTATTTGCATTGAATAGCCTTATAATATAATATAATATAATATAATATAATATAAGTTATATATATATATATATATATATATATATATATATATATAACTTATATAATATAACTTTAGTTAATATTAACTTAATATAATATACTTAATATATATATATATAATATGATATAATAAAAAAATGTATAATATTAATTATTTTATTATTTTAATTCTACTATTGCAATTTTATATACGACAGTCTTTATTATGCACCAGTGTGCATTAGTGCATCCAATCAAGTTCTCCCTTTCTCCCGCTATAAATCAATTACTATATTTCCAAAAAAATGTGATAAATACTTTAATTGCGTGAAATATGATTGAAAATAATTCTAAGATGCTTCGGCCTCCTTTTGTAACATATTTAGTCTATTCATATATTAAATGATATACATTGTTAGTAGTTAGTACTAGGCGGGTTCTAACTCAGGTCCTCTCAGGGGAGGTGAGGTGCGAGGGGATCTCAGCGGAGCAGGGGTATGACGTCACGCGGGGTCATTGTAACGATGCATCCCGGTTACGATTCCCGGCATATCATCCGCCGGAAGCTGCCACCCGGCAAACACCTGCCGGGCAGAGGCAGGAGCGCGGTGCGCCCACCTTTTTTAAACTTTCAAAAACCGTTCGGATTAAAATTCAGCACCGCCGAACAAAGCCGATGTGGCCCGAACCGTCGACCGGCGAAAGCCCGCGTTCGGCTCCTACCCGAATCCCTCCGAACAGGCCCGACCGTACCGTTTCCCGAAAACCCGTTCGGAAGGGGTTATACCGCCGCGCCGACGCAGGCAATTAGCCGGTATAAAAAGGGCCACATTTTTGGCTTAAGACACATTTTTCCGATCCGCTCTTAGCAGTACGCTACAGAGCAATCCTCGAAAAATCCTCTCAAAACGCACGAAGTAGCTAAGGACGAAAGGTGGAGCGAGCTCCGTCTCAGAACGAGTGATCTCGATTCCGAAGCACACGTGCAAACCGCCTACATCCGCAGCTGAACTGTCACGGAAGGTGGAGCTCTGAGCCGCCTCGGATCGAGAGCTCTTGATCCAGTTGCATCGCGCAATCCATCCTTCGCGAAATAAAATCCGGGATTGTACGCGCCGAACATCGTCGCACGCATTGTATGCAACTACGCGAGCGCATCCAGAGATAGACGCGTAAACGCCGCCGAGTTAAAGCGCATAGGCGATTTATACGCGGACTTTAAATCGCGAAATAAATAATACGGCGAAAATCACCGTCGATTCCTAGAACCGAAGCATTCTCGGAATATCGGGATTTCCCGCAGAAAAAGCGCCGCAAAAACGCGCGCCGTCTCGCGCGATAGTAAACACCCGCCGGCGTGCGAAAACGAGGCCGAAATTAATCAGCATTAATATTCGGCTTAATTACGCGAACCACGCGATTTATATACAACTTTTATAATCACACACACGTTCACACACTCGTCTACACATTTACACACTCCAACTCTGTACACACATTCATACAAACTAAATAAACGCAATTATACCACACACACCGTGTATTTCATTTAAAGAAACCCAGCACCGGCGATCTATCCGCGCTAAGAAAAACGTCCGGAAATACGACCGTTACAGCATAAACAAGAAAAAAGGGCGATATTCTTTTGAAGATGATTTTGGGCCTAACCCAAAAAATCATTTTTTATCATCTTATTTTATTTTATTTTTATTTTTTAAGGAAAAATTTTAACAGCGCCAATGTTCGACTGCTTTGTCTCCCCTCGCTCCCCCCGTTTACATATCAGCGCCGATGTTCGGCTGTTTTGTACTCTCGAGGTACACCCCTAATATAGATAATTCCAGGTTTTTTTTTCCCGTTCGACGTATAAACAATAGAGATTAAGCGGACAAGCTTTCAGAGATTATCGGGGACAAAAAAATTTTTTTTTTGCAAATGGGGTATTGTAAAAAAACCTTTTATACCCTTATATATATTTTTAATAACTTTATTTCATAAACTTATATTTTTGAGATATTTCGATCCGGCCTTTGTCCCCCATTTACATATCAGCACCGATGTTCGACTGCTTCGTGCCCTTGTCGCGTGTGTGAGAGAGAACGATGAGAGTGTGAAAAGAACGCATACGAGAGAGAACGATACTTATAATAATAAGACTTATAATTAATGCGAGAGCGCACGAAGGATTGGAGCGTAAGGAAAGACATGTAAATAATTGCTTTTTTTTGTTATAATTAAAGATATATAGTATAATTTATTTGTAATTTATTTATAATTTATTTATAATTTATTTATGTGTGAGTTTAATAAAAAAGTATACAATATAAAAGAATTAATAAAGAAATTAAATTTTCGTACATAAATTTTCGTGCGTAAATTTTCAAACATAAATTGTTCGCGAAAAAATTTTTTTAAGACATGTACAAGGCATTTATACATATATATTTTACTTCCTCCTCCTCCTCCTTATATATATTTCGTCCAATTCTTTCTCATCTTTTGAATGTGGGAAGGTACAACGCAGAAAGAGCATCCAAATAACATCCAAACAAATGAACATCCAAATAAAAATATCCAATATGATGGTCGCATGGGACTGCTCCTGAAACAAAAGAAAACATATACATTTCATTAGTTTAAATTATTTAATAATTTATTTTAAGATACTTTTGATATAATAAATTAAAAGATACTTACAATGTTATCCATGACTCATCTATTTTAATGTTTGCAAAGAAGGCACATGTCGCATGGCATTACTTGATGTAAAGATTTCCTGCACTCTCTGCATGACATATCCTCTATATTGCAATAAGTTGTGGTTCTATGTTCCCGAACAGATTTAG